AATATCGATATATTTTTGTCAATTTTTTATGATATCTTCAAACATATATTTTATTCAAAAATAAAAACATCATCGCTTTCTCAAAATCACATAAAACCATATTATAACATTGACTGAGATAAAGAATAAAATGAAATATTAAAATCACGATGTATCTCGCAACATTGCGCGAATACGCTCTAGTATGTCTCTAAACCATGGATGCCAACTTGACCTTAATTAGTAGTGGATTCGTATGTATTTGTACAATATGCATAAAAGTCATAGCAGTAAAAAAATGTACACATCTCAACGTTCTATTTGCATCATCTCATGCTTAGTAGCCACATTTTTAGTATAAAATTGGATGATAAACATATTAAACTATCAATTATCATCTATTAAATTACATTTATTATCATTTGTAAAATAATAATAACTTCAGAAAACTACTATCATCTTAAACATTCTTGTAGCCTTGTATCATAATTCATCACTAAAAGAAGTCAAGTAATTGCTGTTAATCATTGTAATAAGTTTTAAAAAATGTCAAAACATGTAAAAAGATTCAAATTCGTGCATTTAATTTTTATATAGGGATTATTTTACTTTCTTTGACATCGATGTAGAATTAAATTATCATATTTATTGTGCATTTAATTTTAATAAAGCATTTCTAAGGTCAAGATCAATCGTAAGCAGATCAATGGTTGTGACTGTGCCACAAGTCTCAATTTGATTGATTTCTTTCTCTTTGACATGCATTTAGGATAAAATTATCATATTTGTCAATGCCTTTGGATTTAACATGCTATGTATGTGTGCGTGGGTATATCTTTTTTCTCCTGTAGAACTCATGCTATACACACATGCATGTATATATATATACATGTGTCTATAGCATGAGTTCTACAGGAGAAAAAAGATGATAGGAGGGAGAAGGTATCAACCCACCTGCTGAAGGCTGCTTGCATCTGCAGTGACACGTTCAGTTATGGATTTCTCCAACAGCTCAAGTGCTCTTGAAGCACGAGTTCGAGCATCATCCATGTTGGAGGCACTCAACATTTCTCTAACAAAAAGGTTCACCCAGTCTGCACCATCCACAGGCTGACTTTGTAGAGCTGAATGCTCAACAGGCACAGCATCACCATTTGCAACCCCATTAGCTGCAACAATGGACCCAGCAGCATTCCAATTAGATAATTCAAGCGAAGACATCATATAGACGTAATAAATACAAGGCATTGTGTACTTAAAGACAGAACTGGTTTTGTAAGTATCAACAAAAGGAACTTTTAATCATATAGATAGCAGAAAGAAATTTTAAACAAAACAGAAAGGGAAGAGGGAAAGGAAAAAACATAGATAGCAAGTTACTGGAAGCACCTTGAGTTTGGAATTGCAGATTAGATTCGTTCCCAGCAGCAGAATTCACAACAGATGCAAAGTTCTCAACAGTGCCCAAACGTAGCTCAGTAAGACTCTTGATGGCAGTTTCTATGTCATCGCCACATTCGTTCAGCGCTTTTTCAAGAAGCTGAAAAGGATATATATATATATATATATATATATATATATATATATATAATATATGGTTTTAGTAATTGGTAGCAGAAGGATTAAAAAACATACAATTCACATGGTTGAACAACTCGACAAATCCATTACTAACTCAAATGCCTACTGCACCAAGATTGCATATATTGCTGGGTTGAAGAATGTCATGAGATACACACTCACATATTCACATTGGCTCACATGCTTATTGGAGGAGAAACCTTTATGGTGTAACAATAATCACTCCTAAACTTTTCTAAAACTGAAATCACTCTAAGGAACCTTTTATAAGGCGAATATGCAGAAAAACAATCCAACTTATACGACGTACCAATAAACTCTTTAAACTTTTCCAATACTAAAATCACAGAGGAATATTTTACAAGGGGAATCCCCAACTTGGATTGAGAATCCATTTTGGCACTACCGGATATTGTGTGTAATTCTAAAATTCAACCTCCAAGTAAACAGCCAATCCAGTTCAATCTGTTTATGAAGACTTGGTTTAATTTGTCCAAGATTACTCAATGACCCTAATTTATTTTCAAACATACTTTCACGTTATACAAATTGTATGCCTTGAGTAAATGTATATGTTTGCAATTATTTTGATCTTGATGGGTCACAGCAGTGCAATTGGCTTGTTGGCTACAGTCCTTGAATACATTGAGCCACACACAATTACCAAAAATTAGCAACCATCAAGGTTATTATGCAGTAGACTCTCTCATTCAACCTAGGGTAAATGAACTTAATCTAATAAAATCAGCGGGTTTCGGACGTGAGCAAGTCAGATCCAATATCCGCTATCCATCAATTTTGGATACTCAAGCAGAACTTGAAATAAGCGAAATTTTCAGCCAAGGAAAATATGTTATCATGTCCATGAATACTTAAAAACACCTATCTACAGTACATGCACAAGAATATATTAGAAAATACGAAAGAAATTATTACCATATCTGATATGATGAAGAATTTAGAGATACAATTCAGATCATACTAAGAACCAATAAATGGCGAGCAACATTCTATTTGCCAAACCACATTGATTGAAGTTGTGGACTACACCCACACCCAGCAAAATATAGACTCCCCCAAGCCCGCTTGAACTATTTGTGCACGTTAATGAACAAGTTACAATGACGCAAGTTAAGCAAAATTTGAAATTTCCCTAATACGAATTGTTAAGCAAATCTAAGTTGTCTTTATTGAGAATTCAAAATCAACACAAGTAGGCTCCTCTAAATACCCCCTCCCCCCAAAAATTGAGAATCCCCTTTCAGTCTCCTATTTCAGGCATGTGTAAACAATAATCCTGCCTTTCAAACATATAATGAAAGAGAACCAATCCATATTAACCTAAAAATTCATGGAATTATTTAAACATTAAATGCATCCTTGAAGTCAAATGCATCAACAGGGTTTTTTTTCTGAAACATATGACTATCACTTCTATAGTCATCCATGTGTGAGAATTTATTTTCTCTCTTTCTTTTTCTTTTCTAAAACAGCAAAAGTTAATCCTTCTGCCAATTTTTCTTTCTCATAAAGAAATGACAAACTATTTTTTCTTCTTATATATTTTCATCTATGAGAAATTAATCTGGATTCATCTTTCTCCATATTCAATCATCTCATTAGCAAGTAGCCGAAACGATCGACATCATACCAGTCATTCGCTGCAAGAAGAGCAGAGGCAGTGGCTTGAGAATGAACTTCAATTGGCTAGGGTTCAAAGGGGGAATATTCCAAGACATTCTAATCCACATATGCGAAGTGAATCAGTCCCTTAGCAACCCTTGAAAGCGCTGCTGTCCAATGGGTACACAAAACTAGCAAAGATGGGTTAGTCTTGGTAGGTCTTCACTCCTCACCAGCTTTAGGAAAGAAACCGCCTAGGGTATCCTCTCTTTCTTTCTGTAATAAAGTTCCTATTTAATTCATGTTGGGATCTATGAATGAAAGTTCTAAGTAACAAATCTTCACCACAACAAACTACATGTGCACATTATCATATGCTATATCATGCCCTTAAGTCCAATGCAAAGCCTTTCAATCCATTATTCTGATGCTGTCAATAATCCCCAAAATTTCAATTCATAGCAAATACTAGATCTTTTCTACAATAAGTTTATATCCTTGAAACCAAGCATAGAGATAACCAGTGAATAATGTACATCACCTGCATAAACAGGATTGTAAATCACAAAGTTGATTCCCAAATTACTAGTATAATTCTAGGACTGGTCTACGTCTCCTCTGAAACAGCAGGAATTTTTCATGTACAGAGAAAAAAAAAGCAACAAAGTAAGTAAATAACCTGCTTATCCATTTGAGGGAACAGAAGAATGAGACGATCGATTGCAATAAACCTGGATGATGTAGTGGAAGAATATCTGACAGGGGAAGAAGAAGAGCAGCGAATTCTTTTGGAAATAGGAGGCGAAGCAGATGATGAAGAAGGTACGTTATGATCCTCGAAGAAAGATGATCTTTTCCCGCACACTACCGCAGACATGTTGTGTGTGCAATCTCTTGTTTTGCTTTCTATAATCGCCTTCTTCCCCCTATACCTTTCATACAGCGTCCAATTTGAATCAAATACCAAAACCCCAATATTACAATCAGTTAGGGTTCCACGATCGTCAAAAGCTTCCCACCAAGTTCGATCCAATTGAAAATCTATTGATCTTCGATCGAACTAAATCAAAGTTAAAATCAAAATTAAGATGGGAAACGGATTCCCAGATGAGGAAATAACAAAGAGACAAGTATCCACTTGGTGTTCCAGGGTTGATCATGGACCGAATTGATTTATGTGCACCAACTCCGTTGAAGAAGCAAAGGTATTACGTATGGTATATATCATTTCGATAAAATTCTTAAAAACTTTTAAACCCATCCCTCCTAAACGATTTTAGCCGTATCCAATTTCATCTCATATCTAAATTCGTATAACTAACACAATCAAATACATAATAAATATTTTATTTTAAAATATAATTAAAATAATCATTAAATTTTAACAGAATACTTAATTATTATTTTTATAAAAATATTATATTATTAAACTAAAAATAAATTATTTTATTATTAAACTTATATTAAATTATAAAAAAATCTATACTATATTATAAAATATTTGACAAAAACTCTTAAAAACTATTTTTTATACGTAAAATACTGTTTATTAATGTATATTACTTAAAACTCAAGATTACAAGTAGATTGTGCGTAAGTACAACTTATTAA